TCAATCACGTGAAAATTGAATGCAATTTTCAATGTTTACATTGACGATTTCCATCGTGTAAGATTACATATTTATAAATTTAGCCTTGTTTGAGCCCATTGTTTCGTAAATAGTACATTTTTGAATATTAATTGATGAAGAGTGAGTGGTTAAAAAATGAAAAAATGTTTTGGGTTTGCATGTAATATTATTTTATTGAAAATGTATAGTTAAAATGAAGATAGAGAAAAATATATTTTAAAATAATGAGAATCAAACAAGAGCTTAAATCAGTCGAGACTTAGAATCTTACTTTCGAAAGCTTAAAAAAAGGCACCCTAATTTTTCAAAACTTAGTTTTTATCTGACAAATAAATAAATAATTTATAAATTCAGTCAAAATCAAGCATTAATTTCAACCACACATTCAAATTTACTATTTAATAATCTTCATATTTTATATGGCCGTCCTATTTCTATCGATAAATTTACCAGACATGGGCTCAATTATTTCCTTATGAAAATTAAATTCATTGATTTAACTACGAACAAAGATTTACAAATTAAAAATATTGAACAGACAAAGTTCCCTCCTTTTATCTGACAAATTTTATTTTCCATCAGCCAACAGAAACCCTAAATGACATCCTAAAAATAATAACCCTAGTTGCAGACAAGGCCATGTGAAGAAGATAACACTTTCCCATGCTTTTCAAACCATGATGATAATAATAATAATAATTACTGCTACTAACAACAAAAACTAATTAAAGAAAGCACATTTACCTGCAGCAGTAAAAAGGGTAATTCAGAAAAAAAAAATTACCTAATAAATGAAATATAAAAAATTATCAGTACACCAAAGTGGGAGAGACAAAATCTGAGCGCCGCCAGTGTAATCATTCAGACGGGTTAAAAAGGCGACTTCCTTGAAAATGGATAAAAATCGCACTTTCTATAACTTGTTGCCCGAAAATCGCGATTCTATTGATTTCGTGTTGGATTTGAACGTTTTGATGCTGACCCTGTTTTCGATAATTTTTTTCTTCCTACTAATAATTCTAAGAAATTTCCGTTAAACAGAGTAAACCTATCTATCCGTGGTGTTGTACAATGCTTAGGTGATAGTGAAGTGAACACTGAACACATCGAGCTTGTTTGGTAAAGATTAAAATCAGATAAAAATTAAAAAATTAGTTGTTATTGTTGACTTTTATTAGACAAGTGAGACCCAATAACGACTATATTTTCAATTTTAATTGGATTAAAATTCCTCCCAAACAAGACCATAGTATTTGGCTTCCATTTTCCAAAAAAATTATTTTTTTAAAACGCATTTTCAATTATATATTCTCTTTAAAAATAATATTATACTTAAATTGGATTTTTTCCTCATTTTTTAGCACATTTTTCAAAAAAATCATTGTTTTAAAACTCATTTTTCTTTAAAATTCCATTAAAATGAAGCCCAAACAAGGACTTAACAATTATTGCTCATGAAACGAGCATGCTATAGAGACTAGTCATGTTGTTTCCTTCCCTTTCACAAGTGAAAATGGCGAGCGAAATTGACGAGTTTTACTCACATCCCAATTGTGTTATAAGTAATTTTGAGAACGTTCAGCTGAAGAGTATATTTTAAGTATTTATTTGTAAAATAATAAATATATAGACGTGCATAAAATCATAAACAAATAAACACTAAAAGAAAATAAAGAAATATTGGACAAATTAACTATGAAAAATGCATTAGTAAATACATTGGCTTTCTATAATAAATTAGTAAACTTCAATTAAAATTATTTAATTTTAATTTTTACTTAATAAATATTTTAGTCAATTATTATAATGTGTTTTCTTAGTTATTGATGTTAATTTATTTAGGATGGCACGAAATAAATCGAAGTATACAAAACATGGTAGTTGGAGCATTTACATTTTATCATCGTAAAAGAAAAGGCAAATAATTAGAATGTTACCTCGAGAGAAAATAAACAATTGAGGACAGCAAATTCTTGGAATATTACAAACCGCGTGCACTTAATTTTGCCTCACAAATTTTTGTAACCAGTTCATTTCAGCACACTTTTTATCTTTTTCATGTTAATATTGAGAGATGTTATTTTATGAAGGGGCCGTAATCGCAAAAATATATATACATTCATCTTTACGAGAGTATTGTATTGATACGCGAAATAGTAAAGTAGCAGTAGAAGTTCGAGTTCTAAAAGATTAAACTCTTAACAACGGCAAAATCTTTCAACTAAAATACAAAATGTAAGAAAAAGTTATTTTCACTCGAAATAGATTAAACACATACTACACTCAACAACAATAAATTCAACGACAATTAAGTTTATAGATTAAAAAGACCAAGTTAGATCTGACGAATCGCTTCTCAACCAACATTGTACGTGCTTTCATTTTAACGCTGTTTGAATCACATTATTTTTTTATTCTTATTCTTCTACTTATTTTCAACCACACATTGTTTAATAAAATAATATTTTTCATTACATAAATAACTTTTCATTCTTTTCCAATAACACGTTTTTCATCAATCTATTATTCCAGAATACATTCTTCCAAAATAATGTTGCTCAAACACACAAGGTGATCTTTATGTTAAATTTTATTTTATCGTCTTTTGAAATTCAAGACAAACATTTTAATTGGAAGAATATAAACATGAATTATAAATAAAATAAAAGAAATATGCAATACAATTTCTAAACTAGAACAATTTAGTTAGAAGAATTAAATATCGTACACACATAAACAATAGAATAGCAAGAAGAACGAAAGGGTCGTATTCATATCTTTTATAATCATTAAGCGAAATAGTAAATCAAAATCATAAATTCATTATTTTCCACTTCAAAAATTTGATAACAAAAATATGTATAAAATCTTCGAATAACAAGACTAACTAGGTTTATTATGAAGGGCAAATAGTATTGTATTTGCATTTTGATTCTAAAAGCCATATGGCAAACAAAATTTGAGATACTAAGCCCTTGTTTCATGGCCATTATTTTGAAAAAATAGAGATTTGAATAGTTATTTTTTGGAGAACGTGTATTTAAAATTAAGAAAAGTTTTAATTTTACGTGCAAAATATTTTATTATCTAAATGTATGATTGAAAATGAGTATAAGAATTAAGGAATTTTGTTTTAAAAGGAATCAAACAGGGGCTAATTAAAAAATAAAAAGAGAAATCATACGTTCATATAATCGAAATCATAGTGATGGTGATAATTGTATTGATTGTGATCCTATCTAGTTAGGGCTGTCTGTGGGTCGTTCGGTTCGGTTCTGAAGAGACCGGCTATGAAGAGATCCGAACCGACCCAAAACTTTCGAGTATTTAATAAATGGACCGTCGGGTTCAAATATAATTCTGGAACCGTTCGAGTTCGGTTCGGTTCGGGTCGGTCCGGTTCCGTACCATAATTAATTTTTTTAATATTTTCAGCAATACTATATAAATACAACTAATGACATTTCATTCATAACTTTTACAAATTAACGTAGCCCAATTCAAAAATATATAAATAACTAGCCGTCCAATAAGATTAATTTAATGTATACAAATACCAAAAAGTATATATTAATATTACAGTAAAACTACATAAAGTATATTCATTTGCTTCAAATTAAAATGGGCTAATGGATTTTAAAAATGATTTGGGTTTTAAAATTAAAATTATGAAATAATCTAATTTATTTAATTAATTTGCTAATTTGTATGAAAAAAATCAAATAATTTAATTAATTCAATATAAAAAATAAAAAAATTATTTAGTTTCGGTTCTTATTCGATTATTCAGTTCTTTATCTAGACCCAAGACCCGACCCAAACCCATCGGTTTTCGATTCGGGTACCCATTCGGGTATTTAATTTATGAAGAACCGCTCGGTTCGGTTCGGGTTCGATTCGATCAGGTTCGGTTCGAAACTTTTGGACACCCCTATATCTAGTATTTACCTATGATGTCAATATTTCATTTTCATTCCGAAAAATGCAACTTTTCTATTATAAAAAAAAAAAAAATCAAAATTAAGGACAATAGAATAAGGCGTTTTCGCATTTACATGAAGAACAAGAGAAAATGCTATAGTTGGGTTTAAAATTGATGACCTATTTGCTTTATATTATGTTTTAAAAAATATGTTTTATTACTAAAAACAGTAAAATATATAGAAATCTTAAGCCCCTATTTGGTACACATTCTTTTAAAACATATTTTCAACCACACATTTTTCAATAAAATAATATTTTCCATTACATCAATAACTTTTACTTACTTTTTAACCACATACTTTTCATCATATCACTATTTAAAATACATTATTTTTTCAATAATATACATCAAACACACACGAATCAAAATTTTTAAAGCTTTGCTAAAACTCAAGACCTTAGACAGTCGCCTAGATTGGCTAATAGTCGAGCCCACTCCGCCACTACTAGTTGATATGTTCATCTCATTCAAATATCCTAATTTCCGCTATAGTTATCTTATGGTTACATTAGTTTTGATCTATGCTTCATTATGATTCCGTCGTAGTACAATGGTTTATTAAAATAAAACAACAATTTTCTATCACAAGTTTCAGGGCGTGTTCGGTAGAGATTAAAATCGGATTAAAACTGAAAAATTAGCCGTTATTGTTGACTTTTATTAGACGAGTAAGACCCAATAACGACTATATTTTTAATTTTAATTGGATTTTAACAACGATCCAACACGTCCTCAAATTAAATTGATTTTGTAGTGGTCCACAGATGTAATTTATTATTTAAATAATTATGAGCACATTAATATCTCTGCAATAATATATCCCTCCTCTCGGCCTCTCCAAAAGGGTGTAAATTCTGGCTATAAATTCATCCCCCACCCCAAGCTTCATCACACGGTTTCAGGTGCAAACTTCCATTTCTTCGTTATACCTACTCCAGAACTGAACCCCCCAAGCATTGATTCTTCTGTAAATTCACAAAAAAATTGATTGAAAATGGAAGAGGCCTTGAGGAGGCTTAATGGCTCCAACTCACAAATTCAAGATCTCGACCAACTTCATCCCACCTCCACCGTTTCAAAGCGGTGCACCACCTCCGCCGCCGCCACCACCAACAAGAGGTCGTTGAAAGAAGGTTCGATATCTGGTGGCACGATGAAGTACCGTGGTGTCCGCCGCCGTCCATGGGGCCGTTACGCAGCGGAAATAAGGGACCCTCAGTCGAAAGAGAGGCGGTGGCTTGGAACTTTTGACACGGCGGAGGAGGCAGCCTGTGCCTATGACTGTGCCGCCAGAGCCATGCGTGGTGTGAAAGCAAGAACCAACTTTGTTTACCCTACATCTCCGTTACCCACGGCGGATGATCTTATCCGTCCGTATAGCTTCACGAAATCATCCCAGCCCTCCATTTGGGACCTGAGTTCTCGCCAGTTTGTTTCATCTAACCCTAATCTTGTGGACTTCCATGAATCTTCTTCATCAGCTGGAACGCAGAGAGGCAATTCTCTTAATATGCTTCTTCGTGATTTTCTCAACTCTAGTTCGAACAATTCATCTTTATATTCTTACGAACAAATTCCTACTTTCAGTTCTTCTGTAAACCCTAACAATGGATTTATGGGATCTTCTTTGGCAAATCTGTCGGGCAATACAACTTTTCAATCCAGTACTGTTAATGCAACCATAGTTTCAGATCAGAACTTTAGGGGTGGTTCAAATTTGAGTCTACATGATCAATCAACTTGTTTAGGGTTTTCATCAAGAAATCCAATCACCACTGTTGATAACGCTGATTGCATGGATTTTTTCCTCCCGGAGAAGCCTGATTCCGGCTTATTGGACTCTGCCTTACATGGGTTTTTCCCAAAACCTACGGCGATGAAGACTGATCCTCCGCCGTCGTTTACTTATCCTGCCACTGAATTTACTGCAAAACAATCACTGGAAGATGGGAAAAAGTCTTTTGGCAATGACCGTTTAGGGTTTGCGTATGAAGGCCAAAGATTTCCTCAACAGTTTCAAAACTTGAAAAGCACTTCTTTTGGCATCGAATCAAATTCTACGCCGGTGTACACTGATTTCTCGGCCAACATTCAGGCCGCACCTACCAGAATGTTCTCTGATATCTTTCAGTATCCTGATGCACCTGGACTCTTCTCTGCTAAGGTGCAGAATTCTTGAAATCTCAAGGCCTATCACGTTTCTATAAATATATTTCAATAATGTAACAGCTATTATATATTGTTGTTAAGAAAATGTTACTTCAAAAAATGGCTTTATTTTTATTAATTCAGACGACTAATGGCGAAAAAAAAAAAATCTTCAAAATTATATATGAAATCTGATGTACTAGTCAAGGACGATGATGTCCCTTCTGATTGTTTGTGTTTCTTCTTAAACCTTATTGTAATCATATCTAGTTTTTTTAATCTAATGTAATCCCCAAAATTCTACCATAACGATGACTCTTTCTCGCAATAGTTTGATACCAAATTGGAAGAAGTAATCAAAACTTCAACAAATTCGAACAATTTAGACTCAACAACTTTAATTTCCACAACTAGATTGAAATTTCGTTTAAAGTTTCCTGTATTTTTGTTAGGCAAATGTTGTTCAAATTCAGTCATGTCTGTTCACTTTCTCTAGATCCTAATGGGCAGAAAGATCGTATTTTACATGCTTTGCTTTTGGGGCTTTTCTTGAGTTGACCTTCAATTTCTATAAAGCTGCATTCCCCAGCTTTTTTTCCCATTAAATCTTTTCTTTTTTAAAGTTTTTTCACAAATTCTGCTATTATTTTATTGTAACTTTAGTACTATAATAACCTATTTATATCCAAAGAAAAACAGAAAAAAGACTGTGTCTATGTCTTAGATTTTGTTGGGCAGATATGCTGCGGGTTTTCTTGCAACCCTAAAAAGCTAGTATTGCCCGTCAGATTATGTTTGGTAACAGGCAACAAAGGTTGAAAATACTTGCACTTTTTTTCTCCTTTAAAAAAATAATTTTTTTAGATCAAATATCTAATTTACTTATTGACTTAACTTCTATATTAAAATCAATCTTGTTACAAGTAGTGATATGAGATTTCAACTGCTCATTTGAAATTTAGATCATTTGGGTTAAATTTTAGATTCAATCTTAAAAGGTTTGTTTTGAAGAGTATATTCGTTTATTATTTCGATAATTAATTGAAGTACGATTTTAAATAATCTTTAAAAATAAGTAAATAATGGTATTTCATTTTCTTAATATAATTATTTATCATGCATTGGTCCAAGTATGTATAAACTGAATTTTTGAGGCATACAAAAATTTATGAGCTTCAGATTCTCGCTAATCGTCATACATGTCGTCTTTGTTATTTAATGCATTAGTGTGATAGTTTTTTATTGGTTCATCCATCAAATAACAAATCGATACACATATACAACGTAGGACGATTATCAATTGTCTTTATTATGAATTGCCTTACTCGTTACGATAAGGCATCATATAAGTGAAAATATTGCAGGAGTCTATGAATAAATGACTGGTTTTGGGGGGGGGGGTGGGGGGGTGTTGGTTGGAAGATAGTTTTTCTTGTGGGCTATTAATATAATTATTTTAATTGTTTGATGCGATGAATATAATATTACCATTT